CATGCTACATGTTAACATAGAACCCTAAGGTATTGTAATACTTAAACGTACTAGCTAGGTCTGAAAGCGATAAGTCTTGAAATTGAGCGAGCCCAACTATATAAATACGTGAAATACAGCACACTCAACCACATTGAACTCTTATTAAAAATGGCAGCTTTCAAATACGTGCGTTTTCCCAGAGGCACTTTCTGTGAGACTGTGAAGCGTGGGATGTCATGCCTATTATTTATTCTATTACAGTTGGAAAAGGCCTACATAATAAAAGGGACTTTTAATAGTAAAAGAATATTTAAAAGCGAAACGTGTTTGCTTGTGTAACCGTAACAGAAAACACGATTATTGTTATTTGAATAAATTATGTAATATAACTCGTATAATAGATATCTTATATAGGTATATAATGTACTTAGAGTTCAAATACCCATCTGTGACATGTAGTTACATACAACAAACACTCATTAACGTTTTCAAATATATATTCTCTTACAGCTTTACACACGTTATATCATAACTAATTTAATACAGTGTCTAATGTACACAATTTTCAAACTTTCTTTTATCCAAAAGTACACGAAACGATATTATTATACACAACAAACCTTAGATTACTTATGAATGTGAAAATATTTTGTCACAATATCTTAGAAGTAGTTCATTTATTCTCTTATGGACTGTAAAGAAAGTGAGAAATGCATTAAGTTATCAGTTACATTCTTATAAATATATTAACACCATTACGATTACATTACTATTTATTTATATCAGTCAAAATAGTTTCTGTCGTATTGTTTAGATCTTACACTTAGCCGACTTCACAACAATATGTTGTGTAATTTTAATGCTTTATTATCTATTTTAAGGGTTCGTCCTGAATTATAAGTAAGTATTGTTTATACAATGTTTGCTATGATCGTTAAAACTATGTGATGATACAAGTGTTATATTTTACAGTATAAATTTAATGAATAAATTCGAAATCTGTGTCGGCAGTTCTTACAAATAGAGCTGCCGTGCCGTGCCTTTGGACCGACGACTTCTAAATGGACTTTTGAATGGAAAACTTAAACAGGAAAATAAGTTCTGATTGGTTCAAATGAAAATTTATTAGAGAAGCTCGTTATATTATTTTAGTTACTATAGTCCAAGTAAGTAGTTCATCTAAAACTGGTGAAAGGATCGTAGCCTATCGGAACTTAGGAGAGCAATGAAAGAGAATGGCTATGTTAAATACCGCATATAATTTTGTATTTACATTCACATTGATAAATGTATAGCCTCAATGGGCTTGTGTAACTAATCTAATTAGGTACTCGACAGTAATGCGCCAATTTCATTGTTTAATTATTAACAATACTATCCTTTGTACAACGCCAATAATATCCTTAAAAATCTAAATCCCTTTGATACACTGCCGTTAGTTTCGTCTTAAAATTACACTATGTTACTAACAAAATAAGTGTCAATATTACTTACATATATTACCGTTAACATATTTAGTAGAACGATGCACGATTTGCGACTATAGTTATTTTACGATTTTCGTCATTACATGTTTAAAAATCTATGAAGGCATCTTGACCTCAGACTTTAGATTCCACCGTCGATCTGATGGTGTTATTATATAATTAATTATAATTTAAGTCAGTTAAAATGAATAAATAAATATATGTAATTACCCAATTTAAGGGATCGTTCTCTTGTAAACTACAGCGGCGCGCGAGCATATGCCGAGCGCCTTACCCCGCACCAGTGAAAACGCATGCGCACTTCAGTCTGAACCATATCGCGCATGTAATCCAATGTATTATCACTGTATCATTATCACATTTAACTAATAATTTCGCAAATGTCTATAACTTAATTAAAAAAAGTAATTAAAGTATATAACAAAATTACTTGAAATCTATTTAGGCATTTGATGGCAGTGTCATATATGGTTGAATTTTAAATCTAATAATAACAACAATGTACAAAACACATATTTGCTAATACTTAACTAATGGTAACACATCGAGGAACGGACGCATGTCGCTCGTTCAGGTAACACGATTCTCTAATTACATAATATTTGTAACATCGATTGTTCGGTTAGTATAAGCAACTTATGCTGTTTACCCGACTACGGAAATGATCCATATTTATAACAAATACAACAGATGTTTTGCATTTTAATGTGCCTTCAGTTTTATTTACCTTATATAGAAACGAAATCCAAACTTATATTATTGGTTATGGGTGTGAATATTTATACTATTTACCTTGAATCATTAATTCGGAGTAAGAGAATTAAACGAATTGCAAAAACATGAAATGCTTTTTTTTTATTAAAGTTTACACGAATATATTTTCACTTCAATGCTCAATTCAATGATTAAAACAATATGTTAAGTAACATAAATATGCTTCGTATTATAGAGATAGAAGTAGCTTTAAATCGTACAAAATAATTGCAACGAAATATTAAAAATTCGGCAGTTTATTACTCTGGCAGGAAATATGAAGCGGAAAAACACCTAGAACCTAAGTCCCTAGAACGAACTTTTTGGTTGTTTTCACTTAATTTTAATGCGGCTTACATCACCTATCCTATAGCTAGTGGTAACTGTTCACCGTTGCTGGAACGTTTATTACAATTTCATAACATTAACGAGTAATACGATTGTTATTATTAACGATAACGGCAAATAAAATTAAATATTACAGACAGTGGTCTCTAACAGTGTTGCGGAAAATAAGACTATTTAATGATATTATTGAAAATAATGAAATCTTACTTTATTTATTTTTTTAACTACGACTAAATGTGAAAAGTTAATGCGTCCAATGTTAATAGCACAATGACGTAAAGTGAATATTAATGATGATTTGGGGCCACAGAAAGAGGTTAAATATAATATAATAGAAATTGATACGGATATTACTTAATATATTTGTGAAACGTTACATGGCAGTGATCATTTAAATAAGCTCATATTTGTTAGCTCCGTAGCTTAACGAAGTTTTTTTATTGAAAACTTTTCTTTGATTGTTATATTTTCTAAAAAAAGTAATTTTGCATGGTCTACAGAATTTAATTGACTTTGATTACTTTTAGCCGCACAAATTTTATAATCTAAAGTGAGTAAAAACTATGTTACTGAAAAATTGAAAGGAATACAAAAATAACTCAATTACGAGTCAAAAATGAATGAGAAATTAATGAATGACTTCTGAAATCGGCATCAATAATGTATCAGCAGTGACACAATGGCTCCACGCACAACAGAGTTGTGTTCGAGTATGACAATATGACAATGCTTTCGACTTCAATAAACTGACACGGATATTTATTAATATTTTCATGAATTGTGACCATTTACTCTTTACATAGTATATTTACTATTTAATTACGTGTAATTCACAATTAATATCGATCGAAATTTACATTTTATTTATAAATTTTAATTTTATTAGCTTGCTGCAGCTTTTGAGTCATAATGCGGTAATTGTAATATCTATTCACGTTACTTTTCAGAAACAGGAAAGTAGAAAAACAATAAAGGTTTTATTTTAAACATTTGGACATCTTTTTTACTGTTTTATTATAAAAATAAATACTTTTTTATAATAAAACAGTAAAAAACATGTCCATATTTTTTAATCAAACAGTGTACATAAACCGATGAAAATTTATATTTACCTAAATGCTTTTGTGATTTTATTTGTAGTCAATTGTTAGGTTTTATTTATGCTGAAAAATAATACATTCGGGTTAGGCTTAAAATTTAAGCTAATAAATTTGGAGTATATGTAAGTAGTACATAATTGTTTCCCGCCATCCGTGACCAAAATGTGAATGATGAAATGAACTTTAAATAATGCACTGAATGATAACAAAACATACAACTGATCCATAGTTCTAGGGTTTGAGCATAAGTGATATTTGAACACATCAAAGGAAGCGACAATAAGGTCAGTAAATATCTTACGCGTTTACGCATAAAGAACCTTCTTCAGTGTGAAAGGCATTACGCGGTGCCCAGCCCGCTACGTCTTCCACCAGCACTTACATCTAGTTAGACCAGAACGAAAAGAACTGGATCGCTTTGAGCACGGTACATGCGCAAGTACGAGAAATATTGGCAATAAAAATGCAAAAGTTGTGACTATATAGAAATGCGTTGAAACCGCACAAATTTATGTTAGTGTATAAACAGTAGAGTTGTATACAAGCAGTCTTGGTAAACACTGAGAGTAGATACTTAGTGCTACTTACGTTAAGAGCAAAGTAGTATAAAATTAAATTAAAAAAAATTCTCAACATTACACACTCAGCAATTAGCCTACCAATTTAACACTAGACGGTATAAAATGCAAACTAAAACATCAATATTTCATTTACAAGAAACAATTCTGTCTAAAAACAACGTCCTAAACACTATATTAACTCATAAAGAATATCCTATATTTACAGAATTATAATATTATGCGATTCTCCGACTAACACAAAAATTTAAATAGTAACACAATAATATATTTAAATCTATTTAACACTAAGTAGTATACACTACCACGTATAAAACACGCATTCAAGTCCCTGGTTATCTATTAAATAAAAACTAGTTTTAATCATAAATCAGTCTGTCGATCGGGACGTTTTAATTCCTCTAATAAACAATAAACCAATACACACATCGATTCAACAAAGGTGATAACATACCGCACTGTTCTCGCACTTGTGAACATCACTGTTTGCGAATTGTTATTTGTTGTTCTAGATAACACCGCGTCACGCGCGAATGTGTCCGTAGCTTTAATTTCGGTAAGAGCAGAGTTCGGACGTTGTTTTCGCCTCTGCAACAGTTTACTTCGAAGCCCGGCCGTGGGTCGGTACATTCGTATCAGTTGTTGTACGGGATCCGAGTTCCTTCGCTCGGCGATCATAAGACAGCGGCGCGGCGCGAACGCGGGGCGCTCGTCTCGTACATCGAGAACTACACGCCCTGCTGGGCCATATACTATCTGATCTCCGCCGAGTTCAGCACGAACGGCACGTAGAACATCTTGCTCTCTAGCAGCAGGTTCGCCGCCGCTTGTATCTGAAAGTGCGCAGGAGAAAGGACCAATGAACATTGTGGAATCAAAAGCTTTCCATTTCAATTGCAATCGGCTACTTTCTATCGTTCGTGTTCGCCACGGGACGGTATATCAGAGCGAATTACATTGTTCATAAATGTTTCACATTATTTGCTCTACAATAATTTTACATTCATTAGAAAGTAGTTTGTAGTAATTTTTTTTATAAGTATGCTTACATCGTTACAATTTTCAAACTCAAAATAAAATAATAAGAATAATAAAAATAGCAAACTAGATTAAGCTTTTTAAAAGTAAAACCTACTTTAAAGAACTAAATTCAAATTTAAAATACAAATTTATTTATTGCTAGCATGTAGTACATAATAATATGATGTTATTAGTTAGTAAAGAGAAATGCAATTAAATCGAAATCGGTTGACGCGGTAAAGAATTATGCGCTCATAAGTGGTATTGGTTTTCATATAAATCGGATCATGACCAAATTACCAAATACGGGACCACCCGCGAGGAACCCATTTCTAACAAAAAGAAATCATTTCAATCTCAAAATGCGCTAAAGAATTACTTTCGAACAAACCTAAATAAAATATTCAGACTATTTTTGACAACAACCTTCATTTTTGGTAAGTCGGTTAATTCCTTCGATTAATTATTGCAAGAAAAGTAGGTATATAGAAACTATAGTATCAAGAATGAGAAAAGAATATTTTTAAATTATTTAAGTCCAATAAATATGCGCCTATGTTATTAGTAATACTATTAAGCTAAAATGAAAACTATACAACTCTTTTTTATTTGAATACTAAAAGGTGGTAGAATTTACCTCTGGTATTCGCGCAAATAGTTCCTGTAGTCTCCCTGGATGGTGGGGCGCCGCGTGCTCCAAGTAGCTGCGCAGAACTTGGACATACCGGTCTTGAATGCCCTCCAATTCTACTTCTGTAAATAGAGATTCCGTTTACACTTGTGTACAGTAGATATTTGCTTAAATTTAATTATAATCTCTATTCTAATAAAAAAAAAAATAGTAATGCATCACGCTATCCACAGTATAAATCTTGAAAGAAAGGACGTCCGGAAGTTGAACATAATTCCAGTCTTATCTGATCATGACGCAATGTTTTTCGAATCGTATCTTATAGAAAGCACATAATAATATAATAATATAATGGATGTGACGTTGCACACCGTGTTCGTATGCCATTTCCAATATTATAATATGACAAGTATAATGATGACACCCTACTCGCCTCTAGATGGCGCTGCCAGGCGAGTCAGAACCGATGCCACGAGGTGCGCGGTGCGGTGGTGACGTCACGTGCTCAGTAGGTCACTCCGATAGCAGGGCAACGACCACGGCTAGCCGTTGACCTCCGCTTGAGTTCGCTCGCGTCCTCACTCGCTATCGCTATCTCTTTCCCGCGCGCTTTTCCAACGTAATCGTACGCGCGAATGTTTTACTCGTCGAGTGCAGTTATATTTGATTGATCTTTTTGTTCACAGTTCTAAATTAATGAATGTTCACAGTTCTAAATAATGCATTTTGTTAGATTTAGGTTCAAAATATGGCATTTTTACTAAAATTATGTAAATGTTTATCGTGTATAATAAGTACAAAATACACAAATCATAATGTAAAGCAGAGCATAAATTTCATAACAGCTGTGTTTCTTTTAATAGGATATGGTGACAAACGAGCACACAGTCCACCTGATGGTAAGTGGTTGCTGTGGCCCATAGACATCTTCATCTATACTCGATTACGAATCAAAATGCAGATGCGTTGTCACCCGTGAGGACTAAGATGGAATGCCTCATTTCCAGTAAAGAGGGTATCCGGTTCTCTACACTCATCATACGAAACACAGCAGCATTAAGCTACTATTTTACGCTGGTATTCTGTGAGAGCGTGGTCCTTCCCCGGTCGAGCTGACCCATTCGTGCTACAACTATACTACTAATATAATTACAGCATGGCTCTACCACGTACAAAAGAGTAATGTGATAAATAAAAACAGCCAGTATTGCGATTCTAAGCAAAAATGATATCACCAAATGATTTCATTTTAAAAGTTTTTTTTTATTTTTATTATTTTTAAAACGCAAAAGTAAAGAATTTTAGATCCAAAATGTAAATTGTGTTTAAACTACCAAAACACAAATTCTGTTAATTTTATGCAAGTCTTTACAATCAAAATGTAAAGAAATTATATAAAACGGCGGAGCATGGTAAAAACTATGAATGCACGGTGTTGGATGTTATGTAAGTGTACAAGACGAGCGGTTTGCGGGCGGCTAATGTGCGTTTTTTCATCGCTGCTGCTGCGCTCGGCGCGGCGCAAAAGAGAAAGTTAGCTTCCGCATCGCGCTTTTCGCTGCGAGAGTGAAATGCTGTCCCGTTACAGCTGACGTAACTTGACTATTATATGCATTGTGCTGTCGAGCGACACTTCTATTCTGTTACGGTGATAAATTTACGCCGGCAGTTCTAAGTGACACTATTATTAAATGCTCTTCGGGCAAGTCAAGAATAACCCTTTAAAGTAGGTATACACATGCTTTAAAGCAGTTCGTAATGAATATAATTTAATTTCGATGTATGTGTACAATCTACACAGTATTTGAATTCTTGAATATTAATATTATCCCATTCGGAAATAGTTTGGTGGAACTTTTAAGTAAATTAGCCAGATGGTCGCTGGAAGCTTCGTGTAAGATATCAAGAGTATGGTACTGCAATTGCGAATCCGTTATCAAGCATGTGGATTATGGAGAATCTTTTAAAGTTGTACAAATTTTATTAATATTTTCTGCAGTAGACTATGTAAAGACTCGCAAACAGAAAAGTTACAGCGTAGTTTAAAGAACAGGGACCGCCCACGTAGACGAGGACCGATTACGCAAACGCTTTCCAATTCACCGGGGCGCACACTTGCCTTGTGTGTGACTAAGCAGAATTCACGCTTAAGACGACACATCGAAAAGGCTATCACCGTACTGATCCGAGTGAATACATAATTTCTATAAAAACTTGAAAAAACGCCGTCATAAGGTCTAAAATAGCGTAGCGCCCGCGACGATTAAAGCGCTTAGGCTACGCGACGTCCGACTTCAGCGTAAACGTTCCGATCGGCGTCTGAACGCCAGGCACAGTGTCAGCGGTCAATACATATCTTAGCAATGGACGATGTCTAGAATTTCGATCAAACAACAGTTAAGTAGCTGACAGTGCCCACGTGTGGTTGTGTGTGATATTTGTACATAAAATGGATATAAATTCAATACTTTTGGCGGCGCTTGTGTTACTTGAAGAAGAGACACAAGACGACGTATACGAAGAAAAATAAAGGCAACAAGGCACCGTTATGAAGAGAAATGAAGAAGGATGTTTCCAGCTATTGATAATGAAACACTTAAAAACAGCAATTCTAAATTTACTGAATATTTTCTTATTAATCAAGAACAATTTAAACATAATAATAAATCAGTAACTCGTCTTTTTCTTTATAAAATTTTGTCATTTTGTACTGACGCTAGACACGACGACGACGCTAGAAATAACTAGAGACACAGCGCAAAGCGTCTTAACGCCGCCTACGACGTCCATACGCCTACATCAGCTTGTGAAAGAGACCACCACAGTACATTTCTATAGTAAGAATCGTAACGCGGCGTACGGCGTAACGCGGCCGATGGCGTTTATAGGAGACCACCGCCTTAGAAATTGTCAGAATCTTAAAATATTTTTTTAAATTATTGATTTCAGTAATCAAAATAATGAACAAGTAAATTATGAATATTGATGTTATGAATATATTTGAGTGATTCCCAATCGACCGAAATATTTTCTACTACCCGCACGCACTAGAATTATAAATATAGATATTATTGTTCTCATGTAAGTGATAATTGTCTCAATGAGAAATAAACGGATTTGACATTGGCAGAATTCTATTAAGAGAAGCCATAAAGTAAAGTAAAATAATCAAGCAGCATTTTTTTAAACCGAAATCATCTTCACTACACCTATATGATGAAAGTTTATTATAATTAATTTCAAAAATCCATTCCGATAATAAATTTAATTTAATTTAACATATTCATATGCTTTATAATTTAATTAAAAGTTAAAAATGAGGATTTCTACTGTTAAACAGCTCCACATTTTTATTAAAATGAGCGTAGGAGTGCACATTGGACTTTATGTATTTTATTTTTAAGTTTTTTCTGTTAGTGAATAGCGGAGTAGAACATTTCCTTAATGCGTACGTAAGTATTAAATATGTTATAATTGTTCAATACCATCAAAAATTTAAATATGTATTATTTCTTTCCGCTGATTAACTTTCCGAAGTATATCCATTATAATAAAGTATTATCAAGATGGGAGATACATCTAGACATTGCCATAAGCCATAACGGTCAATTTGTTAGTCTTGGCGTAGATCCTTCACTTCAATCACAGCGTATGTAGGTTAACAACAGGAGAATTTGAAATGCATTCATATCAAGATCTCAACTGATGCTATCTATTTTTTTATGATGAAATGAAACAACTTTTAATAAAAAGTACCCTCAATTATTAATTGTGATTGCTATTTTAAGTACAAATTTACCACGTTTTTTCTATGTTAACTTATGTGCTGATGTAGACGAAGAAGTCAATCCGCTCCGTCACATCATCCTAATCGAATATATATATATATATATATAAAAAAAAAAAAAATATATATATATATACTATCCTATTTTATTGGTTTTTTTCAATCTGGCTGGTCTTTATCAATTAATGTATACCTTGTTTGGAACAAATCTGTAATTCCCTATAACAATGTAGCGATATGATTACTCAGTAGCTCAGTATTGTTATTGTGTTGAATTACAGAAAGAGCTCTTAACGCATATATGTAGCGGAGTGTTTCATAAACGGCTCAAAATAATGTGAGCTGCACGGTGAAAATAATTTTCAAACGCACAAGTGTGCGACCTACTTATTGCGGACCGATAATGCAGGATGTCACAGTTTCCCTGCCGCGGGAATTGCGCTCGCGAATGGACCGAGGTTAACTTAAATTCGTTGTACTATGATGTACGCAGGCATATTATATACTACGCGTAAAAAATATCAAATACATAATATCACATTTGGCACATGCATGCATATTTTTCTTATAAGAAAAGTAAATTTTAAACTAAATTAATAACAATAAAGGACAAGAGTGGCTACTTAGTGCTGTCTGATATTATATGAAATCTCAAATCTCTTTTTTTATTTTTTTATAATTGTTTTTGACGAAAAAATAACAACATTGAATTTAACAAAAATATAATATATATACTAATATCATATATATTCGTATGTATATTTTAATTAATTTTAAGGAGATTTCGTTGGATATGGAAAGATGATGACGTTGCATAAATTTTAAATTTTTTAAAATGCATGTTATGTAACGCAACATTGATACTAAAATATTGGGTAGGTATATGAAAAATATTCGTATTATGTATTGTTTGCTACGTAATATAATGTTAATCTTTGGTTAGAAAAACTGAATAAATATAGATCGGAATAGTTAACATTATTATGTGTATATCAAAGAAATTTCCTGGTTGCTACATTCATTCGTTTGAATGTATTGTAAATTAAATTTAACAGAAATGTCCCGATGTCCATTACTAATCAATTTTGCAAGCGAGTCGACTCTCGCCTCGGAACTGGGTTACATGTACCATAAATCATAATAATATTAACGAGCACACTTTGCACCGTCTTGTAATATAGCTGTCTCAGCGCATCAAGTAATTGTCGCACTCGATATAACTGTATAAATTTTAGTATTAAATTATTTTTAAATAGGCTGTCTATCATAATCGAATCGTCCCTTTCTATCTAGTCTGAAGTATAAAGTTGCTTAAAGCTTAATTTAATAGCATCA